GAGGGCCACCGAACTGCTTACTCGAAGGGATGCTTGACACAGTAGAGAGAATTTAAAGTGAAATGCGCTTGGCACACAAAAGGATGATGGTGTCAGGACTAGAGAACTGGTAGCAAAACTACAACTCCTAGAAATTATTCCAAGGGCAAAACCATCTTAATTGTGTTTTCAGCTATGACTGCTTAACCCACTAACTCTTATTAATGTACCTTTTGACTTCAGAACCACTTTGGCTTCAGGAAGAGCAGTTTTCCATTTGCAAAGAGCTTTGCAGGTGCAACACATTCTGGTGTTCTGCCATGAATATATTAATTGGTTGGCAACTTCGACCACTCATTTTGATCAAGAAAAACAGAATTTGTGAATGTCGTTCTTCTCCCCCGTCGTGCTTTTATCATACAGTACAGGAAAAATGTAAGATGTGAGCCAGGCATTGAATAAATGTGTTGCAACAACTGTTGCAATTTGATGGCCAGGAAGAGAGTGGGGAGGGGAGAAAGGGGGGAGCCAAGAAAGGGGGGAGCCGAGGGGTGATTACAAAATGGCTTTTGTTTTCAGATGGCTTTTTTATTCATTCTAATTTTTTGAGATGCTGAAAGAAAGCATTTGAATGCCAAGGACAACCTGAATGGCAGACATTTCACAATTAAATATTTTAAAGATCATAAAGTTTTTCTGTGGTAGTTTGACACATCAAACAATATGCTTCCATGTGTTGTTGTGCTGATAACAGTTCTGATTCATTATCCGGTGTTTTGGAATTCTCTTGTTACATTTTGAACTGCGACTGTGTGTATATTCTCTTTGCAGTACAGTCTGCTTCTCAGCAGTGTCAGGGACAGCCGGAGGTGGTTGTCATAAAAACTGTGTACTTGAGCTCTCCACCAGCATTAGCACCCTTACTGAAGAAATGGGGAGGTTGGTCAACTGCATATTGGTAACAGCTGTGCCCCAGAGGTCATGTGTGAACCAAGCTTTACGCAAAAAGTGGAGAATCAACATGAGGTGGAGGGACTGAATCCCCATGCCCACAGCCAACCCACTCCAAGCCAGATACAGTGGTGCCTCGCAAGACAAACACCTCGCCGGACGAAAAACCTGCAAGACAAAAGCGTTTTGCAACCGTGTTGATGACTTGCAAGACAGCTTCTTCTATGGCCGTGCTTCGTAAGACTTTTTTTCCCGCAAGACCGATGCCTCGAAATACAAAAATAATTCATTCGTCTTGCAGGGTTTCCCATAGGAATGCATTGCAAGACGAAAATTTCGCAAGACGGTGCTACTCACGGAACAAATTACTTTCGTCTTTCGAGGCGCCACTGTAATGTCAGAGGGGAATATCTACATCCTTGACACTAGGATGTGGTCATGCTGCATGATATCCTTGTCTTTCAAGTCAAAGTGCTAAGGTGAAGTTTTCTTTGTAGTACTTTATCAGCAACCCTTAGAACCCATTGCAGCTTGTTGATGAAAGTGGTGAAGGACAATGCTCTCTGCTGGCCCTCTGGAAAGTTCCTGAGAGTTCTGGCTGAGAGTGGGAAAGGAAGCTTCCAGTATCTCCCAATCTGTGACTGAATATAGAGGGTGTTCCTTTTGTGGCTGAATGGCGTAGTGCTTTGAGGGGGAGAAGGGGGGGGACTCGGACCATGAGCTGAGGGTTCTCCTCCACTCACTTGAGGCAGCTGAATCTCTATCTGAAGCAGATCACATAGTTCTGTGTTGTTTTTTTCACCTCTTCCCTCAGATACCACCTCATGTCCAACTGGCATATGAGTAGAAGTATTACTTTAGAACACACAGCATGTGTGTAGGGATTTTGTAGGAAGTGAAGGCACTGAAACGTGTGGCAGACCAGCACCAGCATTTTGAAATGGTATAGTTCAGAGAAGCAAGAGTCTCTCACAACCCTTCCCTATAAGAAATAACTTGCAGGAAGTGTTGAAAATGTTTATTGAGATGCCAAAGAAGGATATCCTGAGAACGAGGAATGGGAGGAGGAGGGCAGACATAGGAAAAGCAATGAGTCAGGCAAAATGTCATATCGGGGCAGATCAGGCATGGTGGCCAGCAGCTCCTCACTTCTGACATATAGAATGTTGAATTACTATATAGGAGAGTAGAACATGAAGTTGATGTAAAATAGCAACACAGATTGGAACAACTATCTCAGGCACTCCATTTCATTTACAGTTATTGCTGAAAATAACCTATGGAGGCACATAATTACATGTGTGCTAAAAGATCGTTTCAAGGACAAGATTAAGCTTCAAGAGGTCATCTTCTGCTGTCTCTTGACAGGCAAGCATCTGCATGCATACGTCATGGAAATGATTACCATGACTGTGATATATACAAAAAAAGAAGGCTATTTTTTGTTGTTGTTCTACCTTCATATTATGAAATACTTCTATTGCTGTATGTTTTTCAGAGATAACTGATGGGTGAGCTATTAATTTGCCATGGCCATATTAACTTGGAGTAGTGCTTTTAGCTGTAGTGAGTCAGCAAGAAATGGAAAGATTTCAGGCAATGAGCTGATAAAGAGACCACAGAACTCCCTGACTGTTGGGTTGTGCTGACAACGATGGCTAGGTATTTAGACACCTGCTGTTACAAAGAGATACCATCCAAGCGTAGGAAGTAAATAGATTCCTGTTGAAAGCATTTCTGTAAATGAATCTGTTATTTCTCAAGATTCTTCCCTTCTGACCAGGCAGCTGATATCTCCACATTGTTTGTGTATAGCTGGGTAGAAAAGAATATAATGATACTACTTCCCTGAGTTGGGGGAATTTCACATGTTGAATGAGGGTGGATTATTGTTTAACCATCTAATGATTAAACAGGCACAGGGACACTGCTAGGCCTCTAACCTTCATTTACTGGGATGAGGCATTTTTCTTCCCGACATTCATGTTTAGTTGGAGAATCTACAGAGGACTAAACCTACGATGTACGTATTTTGTGGCATTGTCACTTGAACAGTTTTTGAAAGTGTTGCCCAGTTTGCTGTGTATGCAGTTTTTTTTTAAACAGGTAAGCCATCCTCATATGCTGATTTTTGCCCTCAGTGTACTGTTTATGTGCTAGCCAATGTTGGGTCAAAACATTCTCCATGCCATTCTTTGGCAATTATTTATTTATTTATTTATACCCCGCCCATCTAGACCGAAGTCTACTCTGGGCAGCTAACAATAATAAATAAAATAAAAACAATATAGTTAAATAAAAAGCAACAGTAGTAATATAGTTCAAGATGGGGAAAATATTCAAGTGATGACAGGAGGGAAAGCCTGCCTAAAGAGCCAGGTGTTACGTTTGCTCTTAAAAACACTCTCTGGAGGCAGACTGTTCCAAAGGCGAGGGACCACTGCCAAGAAGGCCCATTTCTTGTTCTTTCTCTCCGGGCCTCCCTT